ACTCTTCTCAACTATTCTTGTGGTATTTCCTGCTTTTACAATTTCACTGTACACGACTAAGCACACACACACACACACACACACACACGCACACAAAAAAAAGCAAGAAAAAAGTCCAAAAGACACACACGTCAAAAGGGGTCAATTGAGGTGGTTCAGTCATCTGATTAGGATGCCTCCTGGGCGTCTCCAATTAGAGGTGTTACCGGCACGTCCCACTGGTAGGAGGCCCTGGGGCAGACACAGAACGTGCTGGAGGGATTATATATCTCATCTGGCCTGGGAACGCCTCGGGGTCCCTAAAGAGGGGCTGGAAAGCATTGCTGGGGAGAGGGACGTCTGGGAACTTTACTTGCCCTGCTGCCCCTGCGACCCGGCTCCAGATAAGCAGATGAAAATGAATGGATGGATGGATGGGTTGACTTTGCATTGTTGGGGATATCTTATTAGCAGTTAGAGCAGCCAAGATTACTATGGCATCGATTTAAATACAGCAGATTTGTCAGCTAAACATTCACTCTCTGAACTCCAGCAAGTCAGAACAAAGATAGGCTGAAAGATAAGTAATGCTTGTCATGCTAAATTCCTACCCTACCTATTTTATGTAACTGTGGAAAAGTATCAACAGACAACTTTTGCCTCTTTTTAGGTGGCAAGAGTGAAAATTAATCGTTTGTCGTGTTATGGTTTCAGGATGATGAAGACAGTTGGGACACAGTTAGATACAAAATAGGATGTATGCATTGGGATAGAGGTAGTTGATGAGGTGGGCGTACTATGAGATAGATGCAGTGGTCTCGTGGAGGGTATAGGGGTATACCCACCTCTTTTTCTGGCTGGGAGCCACCCTTCACTGATGAAGTGGAATGGAGACGTCCCCGATGTAGTGGTGGAGCAGCGGCAGGGACATCTCCCTACTGCCCCCCGCAGCCAGCCCTAAGATCCTTGCTTTCCCCACAACTCATCCTTTCTTAGGAGCCAGGGCCAGAAACTCCCTTGTTCTGCCTCTTCAGCTGAGTCTTTAAGGGCCTTCCTCAGCTTGGAGCCTGTGATCCCGAGAGAATTCAGGAACCACAGGGGGGATGTTCCAGTGTAGCCTCTGCAGCCAACCTCCACTGGATAGGTGAACGCCCTCCACCCTGCTTGTGAGCACTCAGGGGCCAGCTCTGTGTACTTCTCCTGCTTTCTCTCAAAGGCAGACTCTGTTCCCTCTTCCCATGAGACAGTCAACTCTGCCATGTTGACAGTTCTAGAAGGGGTTGACCAGAACATGATATATGGCCGTAGGGAGGTTGTGGTGATCTCTTGTGGAAACTTCAACTGGAGGTTGAGATAATCTCTCATGTTCCACTTGCCTCCAGGTGACAGAAGCGACCACACCCATTATGCAGCCAAAAAGCCACTGGAATATATAGGAGAGTTCATCCACTTTCTCCTGCCTTGGTAACCTACCTATTAACTACCTAACCCATCTATTCAGTCTTACACCCACCTCGTCAGCTGAGTAGATGGACAGGTTACTGAGGAGGAAGTAGGGCTAATCTCCTATAGTCCAATTGTTCTTTGACTAATAGGACAACATACTCTAAACTGCCAGAAAGAAAGGTGGATATATCCTGTGTACCCTCCACTACACCACTGGATGTGTGCTCTACCGTCTGGGTCTTTAACAGGGGGTCTGGGACCCCTAGTGGGTCCTCAAAGTTACTGCAGGGGGGCCACCAAAGTATTGTGTGATTGTGTGATCTTTTTTTTTTTTTTTTTTTAACTTTTTTCTCTTCAAAATGTCTGCAAATACATATTAAGATGAATCCAACATAGTTTGACTTTTTCACCAACTTCTCTTTTTTAAATTGGAGTTTTGTCCCTCACCTACCCGAAAAGCAAATGCAGGTCAAGACTGCAGCACTGGAAAAACAAAACAGTGATTCCAGAGAGAAGCAGACAGAGGGGTCTACAGTCTGTGTTTGAAGGATGTATCCAGGATGTCAAACTGACTCAGCAGCAACAACAGGTTAAAAAGACAAAGATAGTTAGAAGCTGGAGCTGAACTATAGGCTACAGATCACAGTGTGTCTTGCCACAGAAGAAAGATGAATATAAATGGGAACTTCGCTTCGTGTGCAGATGAATGGTATTTGGCTTTCCCCTGTGCTGCCACCTGTGCCACTTGACCTGGTGAACAGGCAGGGAGCTCTGGGGGAAGCTAAACAACATTCATGTGCATGCACTGTCATGACATACAGCTGGTTGAAAATCGTTCCCATAGAACAGTGTAGGTTTCTTTTCACTGTTATAATCATTAAAAAGCAAAAGCAGCATGTGTATACATTCAGTAGGCTATATCTTCAGTAGCTAGCTAGCTAACCCTACACTTTTCAGGGTTTGATTTTGGTTTTGGAACGTATAGGAAATGTTTATCTCCTTCCAACCTCTCCAGATGATGAGTATCATTAATACACAACGAGCCTCAGGCACAACATTTAGCTCAAAATCCACAAAACCAGCCTGAAAATGCGGGAAATCTGAAACAATTGCAGAAGAGTCTATGGAGCACATGACTGGCCAGTCTGCATTCGAGGGACTTAGCGAAGAGTCAATCTAATATGCAAAGTAATTTCACACAATTTACTGTATGTAGTAGGGGGTCCCTGCTCTGTCTCTTTTTCAGCTAAGGGGTCCTTAGCAAGAAAAACGTGGAAGACCTCTGCCCTACAGGATGTTTTTTCTTTTTTTCATGGCAACTGTCATTTTTTTCCCCCAAATGATGTACAGATTTTTACACTTTCTAGGATCTCAAATGGCTTGGAAAATAATGCATATAGTTACTTAAAATTGGGAAAAACCTTCCCAGGCAAGCATACCCCCAGACCCCCCCAGGTTTGGGCTGCAACCTGGGGCTATATTGTAACCTTTATTACACAAGTTATAAGAATACTCTTCTCAGCTATTCTTGCGGTATTTCCTGCTTTTACAATGTCACTGTACACAACTAAGCACGCACGCACACACACACACACACACACACAAAAGCAAGTAAAAAGTCCAAAAGACACACACTTCTTAGAGGCGCTGGCGCCCTCTGTTTTGGTGTACTTTCACACTTTTACAGGTGTGGAGTGTAAGAATAGCGTAAAGTATTAATAATCTTGTAAACTTTAATTTATTTGTAAGTAGCGTAGCCCGGATTGTTATGAGTTTAAATGTAGTAGATTTGTTAGCTCAAATTTAATTCTGTGAACTCCAGCATCATATAGCACAAATAGGTTTCAAGATAAGTAAAGCTGCTTACACCATCTTACGTAACTTAAAAATAGTTAGATCATTACATAACATTCATTTTTGCCTCTTTTACGTGGCAGAAGTTAAAATGAGTCTAACTCAACATTTGTTGTGTTACGGTTTCAGAATAATAAAAGACAGTTGGAGAACAATTGGATAGGAAACAGGATGTACGCTCTTTTTTTCTTGGCAACTACCAGGTGCCAGATGTTTAGGCTTAATATTATCTGACAAGACTTGAAAAATAGTGCATATGGCTGCCATAAATGGGGACAAATCTCCCTGGGGAGCATTGCCCCAGACAAGGGTGAAGGTTTCATCCCAAGATTGGTGGGGAAACCTAATAAGCAGGAGGCTTGGGGGTCCTCCCTGAGGATGATAACAACATCAAACACTTAATTTCCTGCATTCTGATGAAGTTTTATGCACCAATTTATGGTGGAAATGAAGGAAAATGATACTTAACAATTCAAAATATCAAAATATGCTAAAATAATGCAGTAAGGCTTTCAGGCATTCTGTGTTGCTTTCAAATATTTATTCTTATGTAGATCCTCTTTTCTCGTTCAGTGTCATCTCTACTGAGTCAACACACATCAAGACATAGTTTACTTTTCCCTCCTCCCTTGTGTCTTTTGCTTGGGGAAGTAACCTGTGTAAATCTGCATGTGGCACCTCTTCACATCAATGATAAATTAATTAATTCATTAGTTTTCTGTAACCGCTTTTCCTGTTAGGGGTCGCAGGGGGGCTGGAGCCTATCCCAGCTGACATCGGGCGAGAGGCAGGGTACACCCTGAACAGGTCACCAGACTATCACAGGGCTGACACATAGAGACAAACAACCATTCACACTCACATTCACACCTATGGGCAATTTAGAGCGTTGCTTGTAATGCATCACTGCCCAACACTGCTGGTGCAAGAAAAAAAATTGTGCACCCTGCTGGGAGGTTTCTATCTACCAGCACCAGAGGGTTTCCTGAGGTACATACAGTACATTCATGCACAGTATAATGAACAGGGGAAATGTTCGTCTAGGTTTACACAAAAAGTGAAATTGAAAATCACGTGATGGACTTGGGAGTTGTAATTCCACTGCCTGGCCCCTGAAAATTGGCTTTAAACCTTGGCACACTTCCTGGGGGTCTGCCTTACCCTCAGACACCCCTATGTTTGGGCTGAGCCCCCAGTGTTTCCTTCCTCCGCCCCTGCTGTGGTTCCTTTAGTAATATGAATGCAGGACTTTAACTGGTAATGGGGCAACTTCTATAGACCTAGTGTTGCTACTTTTATTTAAGTAAATGACAAGAATACTCTCTCGCCTCCTCTTGTGGTATTTCCTATGCTTTTGAGATTTTACTGTACACGACCAAAGGAAACAAAAACAAAAATAAAGTATAAAAGGTACTCACTTGTTAGAGGCGTTAGCGCCCTCTAAAGAATGTACTGTGCACACTTTTACCGGTGCAGATGATAGCTGTTGTTTGAAGACTAAAATATTTAAGATAACCGCCATGTTATGGTCCATAAACTATAGCTCAGTAACGTATTACTTTAGTTCACCTCCGTGTGTCTTTTGTTTCGGAGTTTTCGGCTGTCACAGGCAGACTCTGCCACACTCAAGATGGCGCCGTCTCTGTTCCTCCCGCTACGTCCGTACGTAAATCGATGCGTCAGTCGTGCGTGAAGTTGTGTTGACAGAAGCGGTAGGAGTTGTCAGCGGAACAGCAGCAGCAGCAAGCATCATCGGAGCCGAATGGAGTAATCACGAAGATATTATTCCAGACAGCGTCTCTGTTACCATTTAGAAACACTGTTTACACCGTTCAAACTTCGACACCATGGCAGACGACCAGTCCTCTCAATCCTGGTCCATCGACAGGGATGACTACGAACTCAATGAGGTGATAGGTGAGTAGTTTAGCATGCTAATGTTAGCATCCTAGCCTCCCCTGTCTGTACAGCGTTGTCCGCTGCTACTAGCTAACTAGCTAACTAGCATTGCATGTCTGTAGCTAACACAAGGCCAGTTATAACCCGTAGCTACATGACAGGAAGGCCAACAGCTCTGCAGAGTTTCCCTCTAAGCTAGGCCAAATTAATTAATTAGGTTTCGGCTAGTTGGCGAGCTAAAGTGAGGTGGCTGCCTAGCAAGTCGGCAAGAAGCTAAACGGCTAGCTAGCGCAAGTTAGCTTTCAGTGCGTGGAGGTTCGTCAGTTGTTGGAGAGGGTGGTGCTCTTTGCAGAAGGTATGACACGGATTATAGTGAGCCATTCATACTTTACTCTAGTCCAGGTAACGTGACTGATGACTGTAGTTGGTTTTAGATTGGTTCAGCAGTAATAAACTTCTTTTTAATGTGTTTAAAGCAACCAGTCTTGTCATTGGAGCAAACTAGGTTCAAAACCAAAGCTTCATCCTAGTATAACTAACATCTGAGGGACTGTTCTTTACTTATCACAGGAGGGAGGTGCCTGGGCTTTTAAAAAAAAAATAAATTATTGTTATTATTTTTACAAATATTTTTCCTAGGGCTGCACAATTATGGCCAAAATGATAATCACGTTTATTTTGATCGATATTGAGATCACAATTATTTCCCACAATTATTCATTGTTCTTAGGGACAGGGTATTTTCATGTTTTCATTGCACTTACACAATTAAATAAACAGAGCACTGCTTTCACTTAAATGTTGTACTACATTCTTGCTAATGTACTAATTTTTGCATCAAAATAGGACTTAAAATAAAGCTCTTCTTCACCTGAATTCAGTGCATCTCAGATGAACATTTAACTTTTTATTTTTACTTTGGTCATGGAACCGTGATGCATTGCAGCGTCTCTGCCGTGGACGTCTGAGTTGATGCTGGACAAGGACGGGAATTAATGGTTACGGTATTGGATCATTGGTGATGTTATTCCTCTCCGCCTTCATGCATTTTAGACGTCAGTGTCACAGTCGATCGTGTCCATTTACTTGTGGGAACCCAAAATCGTGATCATGCTTAATATTGATTAATTGTGCAGCCTTAATTTTTCCTCAAGCCTCCCTGAGTGACTGGTGGAGAATGCATGACCCTCCCTCCACCATAAATACGTTAATAGATTTTTAAAACTTACTTCAGTGTTTGAACGTTAAAAGCTAAAAGTCGATTTTGATGAAATATTGACGGAAGCGTTCATTGCACATGGGTCCAAGAACCGTCGAAAAATTTGAAAACCAAACAGTAATTTCTACATTTACAGTTTGTGGCTATGATAAATGGTTTAATTATGGCGATTTTTAAAGAAAACACGCTGTAAGTCTTCTTTAAAAATCTGTGGAAAAATAAATGAAAAAGACAACTATTTAACTTTGAATGCCCCTCCCCTAAGCTAGAATAAAAAACACAAGTCCCTCTGTAGTGCTTAAAAATTATGTGACATCCCTCCCCGTTTTTGCACACCTCCTCCTCCCTTATAAGTAATGAACAGTCCCTTAATAAAGCAGGTAGAGGAAGACAAACTCATGGGAGTTGTCATAGAAAATCCATTATCATGGGACAAACACACGCAGAATATGGTGTCTAAAATGGGGAACATTTTGTCTGTAATAAGGAGACGTGCAAAATATCTTACACAATAATCTATCAAACATTAATTCAAGCTTGGGTTTTGTCTTGCCTGGATTATTGTTCAGTAGTTTGGTCCAGTACCTTATTAGGCAATATAAGAAAATACTAACTGGTCCAGAAAGAAGCGGCATGTGTAGCTCTTCATTTTGGATTGAAAACAAATGTCACTAAAATGCATGGTTTGATTTGACTTTACCCAAAATCTTAAACCACATCAGTTTAACGTAAAGTAATATACAAGGCAGTGCAAGAGTGGAATTCATTTCCCAATCATATTTCACAAGAAAACAATAAACAGCGGGGGAAATAAGTATTCAGTACGTCAACATTATTTTCATTAAACATATTTCCAGTGCAGCTATTCACATGAAGTGTTCACCAGGCATTGATATAGCACAGTAAGATAAAGACATAACATTTCAATCCACAAAAAAGGGACATGAAATAAAGAGGAATAAAACAGGAAGAAGCATTGAACACGCCAGCTGTAATATATTTAACACTTGGTGGAGAAGCTTTAGTTTGCAATCCCTGCTCTTAAGATGCTTCCTGTTTAAAGAAATTAATCTCTCACAATGTTCAGATGGAGTTTTGGTCCGTTCCTCCGCAGTCTTTAAATCCAAAAGATTCTGAGGGCCTGCTGGTGAATCTTGATCTTCAGCTTCTTCCACACATGTTATATCATGTCTGTCAGTCTGGTGACTGACTGGGCTGTTCAGACACCTTTATTTACTTCCTCTGGAACCAGCTGAGAGTCGTCTTTGCAGTATGTTTTGTTATTGATTGTGGTCCTGTTGAAAGGTCCACCTGCGTCTCACTCACAGTCCTGGTGGATGGTAACAGCGTCTTCTCAAGAAATTCAATTTAATCCGCACCCATTAATAGAAGTCCCATGACCCGACCCGTACCCGTTCTTGAATTACAAATCCAGAGGTGGAAAAGTCTCTTTCACTGGCTGTGTTCTATGCCAGGATGGCGAAAACTTTCCACACAATCACTGCCAGGTTAGGAAACATTTTAGAACTCTCCTCCCACCACCATAAAATCCGCAAAGGATCCTCTTTGGATGTCTTGAACTCGATGTAGGCTGCCACCTCATCCATGGACTGCAAAGTTTCATGGCTGGAGTCGCCCGCGTCAGTGACGAATGTGACGACGGAGTCAGAGATTCAACTTGTGTCGTTGAATGTTCAAATAAAAGGAATTGCGGAATTGATAATAATGGTTTAGATGTCAAAATGTTACACACATACTGCACATTTTTTAATTTGTTTTATTCTGAAAAATAAAACATCTATTTTTGTTTTCACCAGCTGCCCGACTGTGTGTAGTTCATTTTTACCCATGCCTGTACCCATGAATTTATACACTCACATACATAACTCTCTATGCTACGCAACATTTGGAGAAACCTGTAGATTACTGGGAGAACAAAGTGTGTTCGGCCAAGATGACAATGCATACAAAACACAGATACACACAGGGATAGAGAATATAAGTGTAAGAATAAAAACACACAGCAGTGAAATGACAGTTTAGTCCCAGGACTACTACAGAGTTGGACCAATTCATGCTACATATTACAATAATGTATAATGCTGTAAATGACCTTAGTCCCTTATCTAGATTCTACTCAAATGTATCACCTTCTCACTTTACACACAAATGATTTGGTTGAGCTGTCATAGTCTGACTGCTGTCTCGGTTGTTCCTCAGGGAGCGGAGCCACTGCAGTTGTCCAGGCAGCATACTGCAAGCCAAGAAAGGAGAAGGTGGCCATCAAACGCATCAACCTGGAAAAGTGTCAAACTAGCATGGATGAGCTGCTGGTGAGAAACTGTAGCACCGTGCGGGCCAGTATCTGCAGTCCAGATGTTGTTAACGTCAGAGTGTGGGGAGTGGCGTGGGCTGGAGGGGTCAGATCAGTCAAAGACAGATCAGAAGTTTGATACCACAACAACCACAGAGTACTAACGCTGGGTAAAATACATTAAGACACACCATAAATGTGGATGAATAATATGTTCCTGAGCAACAGTGAAACAGTGAAATATGTCTTCTCTACATTATTTTACTGTTGAATGTTGATGTTCAAATGCAGCACAACACTCATTGCTCTGTTACAAAGCTCATTACCACCAAGTTATCTGGTGCAATCTGCCAGTCTGCCAGTCAAACTGCAGTAAACAATGGGTTCTCCATTTAACAGTAAAACAAAAATAAAAAGAAGTGATGATATGTCATAATAATCATGTTATTATTTACAAAGGATGATTTTATCGGCTTCAGAAAGCCTAGTAATAGGATATAGATGAATGTGCAACAGAAAGATTACATTTTGCAGAAAGAACATGCAGGATTTTGCCTTCTTGCACTTTCATCACCTGTGAAACTGCTTATAAGGAAAATCAGTCAGTGGTTTTTATGTTAGAATTTTTGTGATTCACCCATTTGATCAGCTGAGAAATCAGACTTTGGCTAACACTGTAGGGGCAATAGTGATAAAATCTGACCAGGTGTATCTGATTTTATACTACAATTTGGGTTGCACAATATGTAGGAAATATGTGATGTGATATAATGTTGAATATCGCAATAGCAGTATTACTAGGGATTAATACACATATCACAGTGTACTCAGCCCTGCCTTTTTCAGGGTTTCTCATTTTCCAGTCTTGGGAAAAGTCATTGAATTTTGTTGTGTGTAAATTACACATAACGTAACGTAACATAACATAACATAACATAACACACACGTTATGTGTAATGACAAAATTCATTTTTTTGTACCTGTTGATGTAATGTAGCTAAAATATAGGGCTGCCCCCTGAAAGTCGACCATTAGTCGACCAGAAAGGTCATTAGTTGGCAAGATTTCATTAGTCTATTAGGAGCTGCGCCTTGTCACAGTAAATCAAAACCTATATGACTGGACCATGTGGGAATTTAATTTGAAAGGACAAACTCAGGAAGTGGCCATGATCAGCAGTCAGACAGGAGTCAGGTTAATTTCCAGGGCTGGTACCTGCAGTCATCACACAGGCTGGTTAATAACATGTCGGGCAGGAAATCCAAAGTGTGGGATCATTTTGAGAAGGTGAAGGATGAACCCAAGGTGATAGATAAACTCATCTTCATTGGTCGACTACAAACATGACGTATCATCTGAAACATGGAAGTAGCTACATGCCCATTAGCCACTTAGCACAATCATTACTGCTTTGCCGACAGCGTCATTAACAGGCGGCTTGCTCAGTGTGTGACGTGCACTTGTAGATAAAATATAGGCCTATATTAATGAAGGCTCATTAGTACGGTTTTGTATTTCTCTGTAATGTAGCACAGTGTTAACAATGTTACTGATACTATTCTTTCTCACACCTTCAACTCAAACTGTTGTGTTGCCCCGCCCAAAATATATAATTTAATAATTAAATTAAAGTCGTAAACATGTGGGCGACTAGTCGACTAATGGCCTTAAATGACGACTATTGGTCGACTAGGAAAATTCTGAGTCGGAGGCAGCCCTACTAAATATGAGTCCAAGTATGACAACATAATGTTTCTCCCTCCATGGATGCCAGTTAGCTGGAATTCTGTTTGAATAGTTTGATTTGTTTGATAAAGAGAAAATCATTAATACAGTGTAATTTAACATTCATTTATCCCAGATTTGCCAGATATGGGTGAGATGAGTGTGCAACAATGTGAGTGGTCTTGGAAATTATATCATGAGTCCTTGAAGTCATGGAAAAGTTTGGGAATTTTGTCTACAAAAATGTGTGGGAACCCTGAATTAAGTTCTCTGTTGGTATTGGTATCGCTGTAAAGATACTGGTGATAGTACAGGCATCATCATTTTTAAAATGGTACCCAGCCTGAGGGTTGTTTTTTTTTTTTTTTACAGGTCGTGTTATCTGTGAGATCCAGTATGACTGAGTTTGTCACTGTAAGGCATTTAGTTAGTGATTTGCTTTGTACCGCACCACCTCTGTGACCTTGTATCCCATATTTCCTTCTCCATGCAGAAAGAGATCCAGGCTATGAGTCAGTGCCACCACCCGAACATCGTGTCCTATTATACCTCCTTTGTGGTGAAGGATGAACTGTGGCTGGTCATGAAGCTGCTCAGTGGTGGTAAGTGCCCTCATGTTTGAACAAACTGCATCTGACTTGACTTGGCGAATTCTTATCTTCACCTTGACTTTGACTTGACTTTCCTTGTCCTTACATGTTTTCCTCAGTTAAGACTGGGCTTGAATTTTGACTGAATGTTTGGGTTAAGTTTGGGCTGTACCTGACTCAGAATTGTGTCAGTCGAATCAGATCACGTTCAGTGTGTCAGCAGCATTCATGTTATCTAGTAAACAAGCTATCCTGGCCCAGTGATAGGTTGTTGCTGTCTTTGACTTTATTCGTGGCAATTCTGGGTTTTAGTTTGATGATCTGTTTCTCTTACTCCTCGAGATAACGGGCCATATGAAGTCAATTTGACGAATCACTGGCATAGTTTTACTGCAGCGACAGTGGTTGATAACTTACATAACATCAACTAAAAATCTCTAAATCCTAAATTCATCCTGTTAAGTTCTTTGTTACGTCTCGTTGTTTCTCTGTGCCAGTAGCAGCAGTCAGTCTTGCCCTCTGCCTGTATTTCTGCAAGGGCTGTGCCAAATAATCCAAAGCTTTGACATTCAAATTCTTAACATTTAAATGCTGCTCAGCCTTTTTTACTGCAACATGCTGCGTCACTTGATTGAGGTAGGAGGAGCCGAGTTTAAATTCTAGTTTTTCTAACCTTGAGATTCTTGCCATGTTCTGTCAGCATGCCTTGTGACGAGCCTCTGCCTCTCTCTCAGGCTCAGTGCTGGACATCATCAAACATATCATCTCCCGTGGCGAGCACAAGACGGGCGTGTTGGATGAGGCTAGCATCGCCACCATCTTGAAAGAAGTCTTAGAGGGGCTGGAGTACCTTCACAAAAACGGGCAGATTCATCGGTGAGTTTCTGATAATGTGTCATGTCGATGACTTGTTGTCTTTGTACAATGTTTTCCTGGTAGCTGGTACGACCCATCATACACTGCTCCTGTCTCAGCTCACTGTGGCTCTAAACCTTTCATCTGTGCATACGAGCGCGTGGTTTGAACGAGACCGCACTCCTTCAATATTTGATACAGTGAAAATGCATAATTGACGAGGTTTGTTTTACATAAAAGTTCCTCTCAGGAACACTGTGAACCATGGCTGAGAAGAAAGGCCTCTGTATCCTCTCAGTGTGTATATGACAAGTGTGATTGTTTCAAATTAACAGGCTCATGTCTCTTACAAAGAGACTAAAGAAGACATCGTTAAAAATTAGCCATTTAAGATGTTATGTTTTGGATGTACTGCTACATTATTGTGATTTATCCCATTGGATAAGTTGAAGAGAATACTCATCTAATTAAAGTGAAAATAGACAACCTCTCATCTTTACCCCCCCAAGTTTCAAGTGGTATCATAGTCAGCAACAGGGCTCTTTTTCTCTTGTACTTATGAATGTAATAAAATCATAGATAATAATATTAGACTTTCTCATCATCTGTCATTTTTATGTGCAGGGTTGCAAAGATTCTGTCTTAATCTTTTATTACTTGTTATTTTAATTAGAGATGTACCAGTACCACTTTTTCCTTCCCGATACCGATTCCGATCCCTGAACCTTAGGTATCTGCCAATACAGACTACCGATCTGATACCAGCGCATAAAATAAAAATGGATGGGATATGAATTGTTGTATGTCTCAACTTCTAAAATTCTATGTAAAATATTAAGAAATGAATACATAATAGTAGAATTAATGCTGTGAAACTTTTTTTATTATTATTACCCAGTGTTGACACAGATCAAGACACAGGTTAAAGTGCAGCCACACAATTTGGTAAAAAAGACATTTTAAAGGCTACAGTAGAATGCTTTTTAAACTCCGCTCCATTTCGTTTGCCTGTAGCGTGCGTATGCGTATTGACGTGAGGCATTACGTTGTATCGGATTGGTCATAGGCTGTACTCGCCGATACCCGATACCGCAGTTTAGGCAGTATCGGAGGCATTTCCGATACTGGTATCGGTATCGGTACAACTCTAATTTGAATCTTCATTTTTTAATGATAAGGCATTTGTAATTCTTTAAATTTAATTACATTGGTATTTTTTAATAATGAATATACAGAGCAAGTTTATTCCAGGGATACAAAATAATATCGACACGTTATGTGTATCGGTGGATATTGGCTTTAAAATGAATCGGCCAACATGCTTTTTCTTATTTTGCATAATCAATGAATATTACATGTATTGAAAAGTATAGTATTTCATGTCTCCATCTGCTGGTGGGCCGTCATGATAAGAGTATGCATGCATAATATGATTCCACTACAGAAGAGACTTGATTATCACTAAGAGTAGGTAAGGAGAAAAGTGGATATATTGATATTGGTATTGGTTATCGGTCAAATTAGTTGTTACATATCGGCATTTTGGATATTGGCAAAAAATCCAATATCATGCATCCCTAGTTTAGACATTATCAGGGTTCCCATGGTCTTGGAAAACCTGGAGAAGTTATGGAATTCCACATTCTCATTTTTCAGGCCTGGAAAACTCACAGAATTAGTAAAATTCTTGAAAGTTTTAGCATAGAATTTTGCTGTGTGTGACAAAACCAATTGTGACATTAGTCTTCTGTGGATGAACTTCCATGTACTGGAACATAACTACAAATCTATTTTTTTGTAGCTGTTGACACAATGTTGCCCTAATAGACGTTAATGCGTGACGGAAATCTACCCACATTTAGTGCTTGGTGGGTTCTAATTTCAGACCCTTCTGATATGGAACCAATCATAATGCAGATGGTTTTATTATTCTGCAGCCATTAGTTTGTGCGATCAACATTTACTTCATGATGATGAGTCGAAGCAAAAAAACGTGTCTATTTCCACATCAAATATTTAATGTATCTGGAGAGTGTGAGCGGACAGTGTTTCAGTAGACAGAGAGCAGCTGCTGATGGAGCTCAGACGCCGAGGCTAACTCACTTACACCTAATCAGGAGATGGTAGAGGGAGAGGGGGAGGGAGGTGTGCAGGGCCAAGTTAATCCACTCCAGTTCTTTGTGCATAGTTTGCACTCGGTGTAGGCAAACAGAAATCAGGTGGATTAAAATGAGGCAGATCAAAGGTGCAGCTTTAACTTGTTTGGGCACCAGAGTAAACAGAGTCAGTGTGCACCACCTAACTACCACTCCTCTGTTGGTGCACTCACTGACTTGTGACCTCGTATCGTGTTTTAATCCTCCTCCTCTTCATGCACAGGGATCTGAAAGCTGGAAATATTCTCCTCGGGGACGACGGCTCGGTGCAAATTGCTGGTACGGTGTTTCAGCTTCCTCAGCTTTTTTTCCCCAGCATTTCTGCTTAGTTACAGTTTCGTGTCCCTCTGTGGACTGTTTCTGTTTAGATTTGTGTGTTTAAAAGTCTGATACATTATCTATCTAACAATAAAGTCCACATGGTTTGTTCCTATAATCATAAAATTACAGGTCTTTTTGCTTGACATTAGTTTGTCTAAATATTTAAGCCATTTAAATAGCTTCCCTTCTCTCTGTCATGTATTCCACATCCCACACACTCCCCAGACTTTGGTGTGAGTGCCTTTCTAGCAGCAGGAGGAGACATGACTAGGAACAAGGTTCGGAAGACGTTTGTGGGGACGCCATGCTGGATGGCGCCAGAGGTCATGGAGCAGGTAGGAAGCCTGTTTTGTGGATCTTTCTCTCCGTCTGTTTTCTCTCTGTAATGCCACGTGACTCTGATAAAAGCAAGCCTGGCGTTCACTTGGGTCTGTTTTTACTCCACAGGTCCGCGGATATGACTTCAAAGCCGACATCTGGAGTTTCGGGATAACAGCCATTGAACTGGCCACTGGGGCTGCACCATATCACAAATACCCACCGATGAAGGTAACTGTGTGCTCTTACTGCACGTCAGTGAGGAATCTAGTAGGGCTTTTCCAGTGGCACTTTTGGCCACACCATGTCAAACCATGACATGTTGATTTGCATTTCCATTACAAGTTTAAACATGCTAAATTTTGTAGTTGCAGTCTACTAATAAAACTCTCCACGGTGGTTACAAAAGCCCCAAAACCAGCCACAACTCAGTCCTGAGCAGAGTGACCATCTGCTATTGACCCAACAAAAGGGGGACCAAAAATGGGGACAGTATGGAATGGTTCCATCAACAACTTTTTACAGTGGAAACGTAAAAAAGCGTACTGAACTGAGCTGTACCTTACTGCTCAGTGGAAATGGAGCTTAAGTATCCTCATTGTCTTTTTCTCTGCTGCTTACCATACCATCTGCCTGCCTCTGCATGGTTTGATGGTGACACAGACATGCCATGGGAATTTCAAAATAAGGACATTTCTTGAAGACCTTGCATCAGTAATGTTTAATCGTTGTTCATTGAATCACAGGGTTCCTACGCAAGTATGGAAAGTATGGAAAAGTATGGAAATAAATTTGATCAATTTCCAGGTATTAAAAAGTATGGAAAATGAAAAATAAAGTATGGAAAAATATTTATGTTTCCAGACTATCATCACTGTTCTAAAATACTGTTTTGTAAAATAGAAAATTAGGTATTTCCAAAAATACGTGTTTCGTGTTTTATGCCGGGCCAAGCACAGTTTGTGTGAGAGCAAATGTCTCAGAAAACATCCCGCCCCTTTTACCTGATTAACAAGTGGTATGTCCAGTCCGCTGCCCCGTGACCCTCCTCCAGCCCCCCAGGTATCAAGTTTCACTCCAACACTGCACCTTCTACAAGAAGACGACTTTCACGTGGTTCACAATGGGTAGATGCAAGTTTTTGGATGGATGGCTTGACAATACCGTATATAAATACTGGTTGGCCAAGGATTCCCAATTCACACACAGAGCTAGATGCAAGCTTTGTGTGAAATCGTTTGACATCGCCAACATGGGGGAGAAGACGATTCTGAGCCACATGAAAGGAAAAAAAACACAGATGTCTCGTTACTGCATCACTTGCACCCAGAGTCCCAACCTTTTTGCCTCAGCCCAGACATTGAACTTACCTGAGTTACAATCGCCTATTAAGAATAATTAAATATGATGTGAAATATGATACACTGATATATTTACTCAGATGTTGCATATTCTGTGAAGAAAAAAAACGCAGAGAAGTCTGGAAATTAGGGTATGGAAAAAATTCCAAATGTGTAGGAACCCTGGAATCAATCCATCAACCCAGATCAATGGATGAAGTAATTTTGTTTATTTCATCAGAAAAAGACTGTATAAACATCTCTAACAAAACGAGTTAAGACAATTTTACGTTCTGTAGTTGCATCTGTTTCTGTCCAGCTGGTCTGCACAGAGTTGATTTTCTCTGACTGAAGCTTATCTCTGTGTGTCTGCAGGTGCTGATGCTGACTTTGCAGAATGACCCTCCCTGTCTGGAGACGGGCATCACGGACAAGGAGATGGTGAAGAAGTACGGAAAGTCCTTCAGGAAGATGCTCTCTCTGTGTTTACAGAAAGATCCAGAAAAAAGGTCAGTTGGTCCCCAAACCTTTTTGTTGCCTCGTGCCAGATTTAAGTTGTTCTTATTTTTATTTCCATCAGACTCTAAGTTGTGTCATGAATATAAAACAGATCTATTTGTCCCTTTCCTATTAAGGCCAACTGCTGCCGAGTTGCTGAAGCATAAATTCTTCACAAAAGCCAAAGTGAGCCTTTGAACACTTTCATTGAAATAAATAGAAACCACATTGATATTTTCTGTGTTTCAGAGAGAATTTTTTAGTGACAAATGTTTCTCTTTCTGTTACAGAACAACGAGTATTTGCAGGAGAGGCTTCTACAGAAGGGTCCAACAATAACGGAGCGATCCAAAAAGGTTTGATAGTCATTACTGATACACTGTTGGTGCACACTATTAGAAGATTTAATGTCTGTAGAATTGTGTTGCTCTGCACTGGTGCGCCGTCTTGTCTAGGGTGTGTCAAACTTTCTGCCTAATTCATGCTGCCAAGTATCAACTAGAAAGAGGTGATGAGCGTTTCATGCACTGTGCAGGTACGTCGTGTGCCCGGCTCAAGCGGTCGTCTCCACAAGACAGAGGACGGCGGTTGGGAGTGGAGCGACGATGAGCTGGACGAGGAGAGTGAGGAGGGCAAAGCTGCAGTCTTAGCTCTGCGGGTGAGACTCTGCATGCCTGTCAGTCTTGTCAATGTACTTTAGAAGGCCACTATACTGTGTTTCCTCTCTGCAGCCGACAGATGGTGCTGTTGGACTGTTACTCTGGACATTTCTTAGCCAAGCTGGAGTGTGTTTTTGTTAAGATGCTTTTGTCCGGCCTTAATGTCAGCTTAGTTCAAATGTAGGTTACTCAGTTAAATCATCAAAGATAAATTCGTTGCCAGATACCTAATGCTGATTTGGTGAGGTTTTGTCTTCTCAGAACAAAAGACAAACACTAAACAAAATTGAAACCCTTTTGTTGTTGCTCCCATTTTTCACAGACTCAAGTTAAATATCTAAGACTTTTTACGCACTCAAAAGTCTTATTTCTCTCAAATTGTAGTCACAAATTTGTCAACCCTATGACACCTGCTGGGCCGCTGGTGATCCCTGCCATCATTGCTTTCATTAAGAAGCTATAGTAGGTTTTTTTAAAGCATGATGATATAGATATAGATATAGAGACTAGAAGACCAAAGGAATCCAGTGGTACCAACCATGTCATGGCAGCTTTTCAGGAAAGGGGCTAAATAAAGCTTCAAAATGAGGTAAAAATCAGGCAAGGGAGAAACAGCATGGCCATTTTCTAGAGGTCCCTCTGACCTCTCACCTCAAGATACCTGGATGGAAATGGGCTCTGTGGGTACCCTGAGTCTTTCCTGTACAGACATGACCACTTAGTGGTAGTCTTGTGCAGTTTTGTGAAAAAACAAAACAAAAAAAAAAAAACACCTTTTGTCTTTGAATATTTCTGATTACTGGTGTCCATGAACAGACTTGGAGTTGCATAATCTGTGTCTGACCGGAAAGCCAAGACTCTTGTGGATCCATTGAGCCCAATTTTATTCATGTGTGTTAGCCCCCATAGTAGCCATTTTACTGTAGTGAGACCATTTTTAAATGGACCTCTCTGTATAAAATTACCTGTAATGACCTCTAGGATAATCGCAGCCCCATGAAACTTCACAGCAACAAACTGCAAACCTCGGGGATTCAAAGGATGTGTGGCTTTCATAGGTACAATGACTATAGGGGCGTTTCTCAGTAGTTTACAGATCGCCAAAAAATGCAGTTCTTACAGAAGTTTCTAAATGTCTAAAGTGTGTGATACTGAATCACATCATGGATTTTTCTATGGCGTTCCTCAAGATCTTGGCGTCTTAATGTGGTATTTTGGTGGTATTTATTTATCACATCCAATCAAATTACAAATACCCAAGCTTTTTTTCAAGGAAAATCAAACAGATACTTTAATAATGATATGTTCTTTGTGTTTATGTGTTCCACTCTAGAAAGTGTTCATTTTTCTCCAGCATTAGAAATAGATCATCCGACTTTTAACTTGACCAAAAGCCATGTTTTATGTTACAAGAAATGTTTGTGTAAAATTATTCCTAACCCAATGTAATTGATGCTGGTTAAGGTTTTTTTCTTCAAACTTTGGTTATTGTAAAATTGACCTTGAATTTCATTATGAGTGGCATTAGAAAAGTCTTAAAAAGTCTTATATCATACATACCTGAAGCTGTAGGAAACCAGATTCACTGAAACAACATTGGAGATGTCTTATTGTAGTGAAATGAACATTCAGTTCACAGGCAGCAGCTCTGCTGGGCATTCCTGCTGTCTAGTTCAGTGGTGTTCATTTTGTCTTTAGTTTATCAGAGTGACTTTAGGTTCTTTTATCTCAGACATGTCAGGATATTACATACCTTGACTTGTTTCGGCGGAAACTTCCGCCTTCCTCAGAAGTGTCACTTGGTGGTGGTTGTGACGCGTCTTTATCAGCTGGTCTTTATCAGCTGATCTGTCAGTCAGCCACCTGCTGTCCGTCCGCCACCTCTCCAGGATGCTGCTCCAGGTGTGGGAGAGCATGTATGCCCCCTCGTCTCTGTTCATTGTCTCTGGACCACGTTTCCTTATTTCAATGGCCTCCCTGATCCAGCACCGGTATTAATACATGCATACGTGCTCTCCCACACCTGGAGCAGCATCCTGGAGAGGCGGCGGACGGACAGCAGGTGGCGTGACCGTCACGCCTCCCTAGGGTCGGCTGGTTGACAGATCAGCTGATAAAGACGCATCACAACCACCAAGTGACACTTCTGAGGAAGGCGGAAGTTTCCGCTGAAACATTTCAAGGTATGTAATATCCTAACATGTCTGAGATAAAAGAACTTAAAGTCACTATTCCTGCTGTCTGCATACCAACAGCATGTTGCCTCAAGACGTGTGACATCTGTGTCATTGTGTCATGTGACCAAACTGCAGATATTAGAGTGATCTTTTATTGTGACCATCCCGAGGCACACCTGTGTACTAATGATGCCGTTTAATCAGCGTCTTGTTATGCCACTCCTGTCAGGTGGATGGATTATCTAGGAAAAGGAGAAGTGCTCACTAACAGCCTAAATCCAAGACGAATAAGTAATTTTGTGCTGAAAAAGTCTGAGATCTTTAACTTAAACCTGTGAAAAATGGGAGCAAAAACAAAAGTCTTGCATTTAAATTTTTGTTCAGTGTAATTGTATAAAACATTAGGTTTTCCCAGGCCCAGGTAGATGCTCGGATCACCTTCAGATTATCCTCAAACGTGTGTTCATGTGTTGGTGTGGGATTTTACTGTCTGTTATCTTAACTGTGATTTCAGTTAAGCCCTGTGTTTAAAGTCACCTTGTGTCAAATTCCTTCAATCCTACAATACTCCCATCGGTCTGTGTATTGGGGGGAGGAGAATTGCATGTGTTTAATCCTGACAATCTGTCATGTCCATTCTGCAGTCCCCCAGAGTGAAGGACGGGTCCCAGAATATGGAGGTGAGTCCATTCGTAGTGGACATGACGTGAAAATCTTGATTTATTGTAATGCCTTGACAGAGTGATCTGCATGCCTGTCCTCTGTGTGTCCTCGTTTTTCCATTCATATCAAACTGAAAACAGCCGCTCATTTATTTGCAATCGCGTCTCTTAGCTTTTCCCACCAGCAGATGGCTCCACACAACATCTGCAGCCACCTGGTGCTGCACAGGAGAGCCCCGCGAACGTGGGCCAGACAGGAGAGGAAGCTCCACCGCAGGCTCCTGCTCAAACAGCGAGCCCCTTACATGTACCCACTGCTCAGGTAAAAACACATTCTTAATAGGGATATGTCAGTTCAATCACAGACATTGGTATCAGGGTCGATCAACACGATCTGATCATTTGTTTTATGTCAGCTGTCGCACAGGTGTTTAAACTTGTGAAGCTTTCATGCACAGCAATGTGTGCAGCCGCCAACTCTCCAACTCTCTGCTGTCTGTCTCAGTTCCACTCCAGGGGTGAAACACCACACACCATAAACATCTGCAAAATGCTGTATCACTTTGTTTACAATACTGAAGTTGCAAGCACTCATTTTATTTTAGCTCAGTGTGAGAGTGAGAGGCTTTTTGCTGTCATCTGTGGCAGAGGAGAGACAGACAGCAGAGCAGAGCTAACGACAGCCTCACTCACCACGCCACTGTAAGAGCAACAAAAGTCCCAGGAGCAAAAAGCCAGTAAGAGTAGAGTAGTATTATTATCACAATAAACACTCATTCAGGTAGGCTAACTTAGGCAAGGCTGCACCAATGCGACAAACACGCTTTTGAAGGGACAGAAATTCTCTTGAGACAGCGACAAGATGAAAGAGGGGGTTTATTTTATACTACATTATTTTGTAAAATCTAATAATAAATATAAAAAAAACATTAAGGAACATTTTTATTTATTTATTTATTTTATTTAACCAGGAAAACCCCTTGAGGTTAAAAATGTCGTTTATAAGAGTGTCCTGGCCGAGACAGGCAGCAACGTAGAACAAAAATACAAAAAGTATACAGCTCTAACACAAAAAATACAAAACACAAAATGAGATTACTACAAAGGAAAACGAAAAATTATGTGAATATATACTATAAGTGAACCATAAAACACACAAAAAAACAGGGGCCACTACACATGATCGCAAAGACCAGCTGAAATACATCCTAACATTGGTATATAAATGTACAAACTTGGGTCACTTTGACAGCACATAAATCACCTTGTATAGTCAATGTGGTCTAGCATCTTTACCTCCTTGTAATTCTCTGTCTGTTGTTAATGAGTGAAGCCTTAGCTTGACGCTCTAACGATCCCCTTCGTCATGATCCACACCAAAAAAAGATCCACTGGACCACTCGATAAAGTTGAATTTGGTACTGAAACAATTGCTCCGTTCCAAAATCTGAAATTACTCAAAAATGAGAGCTAAAGAAAGAGGTAAAAGATGTTAAAAAATTATGTGGCTCCTCTGTTCACTTGTCTAACTGCAGTTAACTCTCCCAAAACCAAAAACTCCCCCTACTGGTGAGAATGTAAAAAGGGCAATTAAAGGTACACAGCAACAATAATAGTACCCTAATCCTAATCTTAAAGCTTACACATGTAAATATACACAAGATTTTATGCATTTTAATTATCTACACATATTTTTATTAACTTACTGCATCACCATGAATATGGACTGTATCTACCTAGACCTGCAAATACTGTAATTGTGTTGTTTTACACATGAACTTAAATTATTGCACATCATTTAGAAGCTAAGCAGCCAAAACATCAATAAACTGCATTTAGGCTCCTACATGCACTCTAACCAGAGGTGTTGTTCAGTAAACACTTTGTTGTTGTGCTCTTTCAGGATCCAGCTGCAGCCAATGCCAGTGTTCCCATCAGCCTCGTCCTGAGACTGAGGAATCCCAAGAAGGAACTCAATGACATCCGATTTGAGTTCATGTCCGGCAGAGGTAGGATGCTTCCGCTGTGTCGGTGAAGACTCTCAGTCACCCAGGTCATGGTAATCCAAAGTGCTGTATCGTTGGCAACGTTTGAAGAGGCTTCTTCAGTTCATCAGTTCAGTTCATAGCCTCTTGGCTGAGGGCTGAAACGTCTGCAAGAAACTCAAGCAAGTCCAGGTGGCAATGATACAGCACTTAGGATGCATCCGCTAGCTCTCATCGTGTTCTAAGAGGCTGCAGACTTTCGTCTAACTCCTCTGTCTCTCTGCTCCACGTCTGTCCTTAGATTCTGCTGACGGAGTTTCTCAGGAGTTGGTCTCAGCAGGTCTGGTCGACGGCAGGGACTTAGTCATTGGTAAGTGGGAGATAAAGCACTGCATGATGGGATACTTTCAGTGTGGAGTGAGTGTGGTTAAAACTTGTTCAGACAGGTAATCCGTCACAGTGAACATACTTCACGATTGTTTCTCAATATCTAGTTCATGATGTTCATTGTGATAGATGACTTATTCTCTGCAGGTGAACTGTTAATGTTGTACTGGAATGAGTGGGAACAAGGCAGAGTGTAATAAACGTGATTTGTAGTACAGATGCAGGAGCGGTATGATCTGAACGCAGCTGGTTTATGATGTCACAGTGTGCACGTACCTCTAAAACCAGTTTTATCCTGTTTTCACCGCTGATCACGATGGAAAAGTCCATTGCTCTTACATCAGCTCGTCACCTGACCTCTCACTTCCTTTTGTCTTCTGTCTAGTTGCTGCCAATTTGCAAAAGATTGTTGATGATCCTCATAATAACAAAAATGTGACCTTTAAATTGGTAAGTACACACACAGAAAAATGCATTAATTTCTTACATATACTTTTTACAGGTATTACTAGGGGTATAAATCATTATTTTTTTATCATGACATGATATTATATCAGTTCTTTAGACAACAGTATGATACTTGCTGACATCACAAAGTCTGTCACAGTTTCATTTTGATTTAATTCAGGCGCATGTAGTTGATATGAGACAATATCATATTGTCCGTTAAACATAGTAGGTTACAGAAGAAGCTGACACCCCTTTTTCTTTTTTTGCTTATTAATATGACAAATATAAATTCAACTTAAGGTAGCCGACAAGAATAATATAATCAATTGTTTTTTCAGTCCGCTAGATACATTTTGGGATTTATCTGGCTTCATATGAGCAGAGGAAATCTCTGCTTGGCGCTAGGCTAATTTATACAATGTAAAATGCCATAGGCTTGTGCTAATAAGGTTAGCATGTTATTTTTGTTTAGTATAAGACAGTTGTTTTGTCAGTGACTCTTGTGAGTTGTAACGGAGCCACATTATGTAACGTTACATTTGTTAAATTTCGTTGTTGTCCCTAGTTTTATATGAGAAGAGGAAAAGTCTGCTAGCTGCTAAGCTAATTTATACAATGTAAAATGCCATAGGCTTGTGCTAAAAACATAAGCATGTTGTATTTGTGGGGAAACTGTGTCCAGATAATTCAATTTGCAATTTTATTTATAAAGCCCAATATCACAAATCACAATTTGCCTCAGAGGGTTTTACAGCATACGACATCCCTCTGTCCTTTGGACCCTCACAGCATATAAGGTGTGTTTTAAATCAACTAAACTTTCCAGCACTTCAGAGAAACCCCACCGCCGACGAGTGTTTTGGAGGTGTACGTAACTGCAGTGTCACAGACAGACCGAGTTAAAATGCTCACAACAGCGTAGGCGACGTTCGTAGGGTCTGCTTCACAACTATAAATCCCGCTTAATTGTTACACCGCTAGTTTTCGTAAGATCACTTTCTATTTTCATAGATTTAAAATAGCACAGTTTATGATGTTCCTTCTCTTCCAGGCATCTGGCGTGGAGGAGTCTGAAATTCCTGACGATGTTAAACTCATCGGATTTGCGCAGCTCAGCATCAGCTAAGTCCAGCAGAGCCATCAGCAGAGGACAGAAACTAATGGTATTGCACAGCTGCATTGTAGTCAATTCCAAGAAACCACTACTGCCAAAGAGAGGAGGAGGAAGATGATGAGGAGAAGGAGGATGAGGAGGGGACAGGAAACTGGCAGGAGTGTGACACTACTGCAGGATGCATGAGGACCACATTGAGAGGGGGCTCAGTTCATTACAGGAATCACACTTGAAACGTTTACAGTGCGCTTATACAGTAAATGGGAGAAGTGATGCAATCAACTATATCAACTCCTAGTTTTTTTTTTTTGTTTTGTTTTTCTTCCTCTTCATACATAAGCACAATCCAAACCATCTCCTGCCAGTACTGGAAGTGATTGCCTTTTTTTGTTTTGTTTTGTTTTAATCAACTGTGCCACAAAACTCACAAGAGTGTCGTGCCACCTTTATACGGCACTTTATGCTACACTGAAATTGAAAAGTGTAAATTCAGCCTTAGTTAGTCAAACTTTAGATTTTACCAGAGTGTTTGGTGAACAAAAAAAGAGTCTCTCTCTGTGATTATTAGGTGTATTCTATATACGCCTGTCTAAGAAATCAATCTCCCGTAACACTGACACAACTTAAAAACACACTGTAGCGTAGTTTTGTAATTCTGTAAATTCAGATGGATTTTTACTGAGGAGAGAAATCAATTACCAGATTCCTGTCAAAGGCAGCCCAAGGCGTGTGGTGTGGTGGTTTAGTCCAAACATAACCAAAGAGTTTAGGCTCTGACTGCACTGCTGCAACCATTCAAACACACAAATCGACTGTAACTGCTCTGTCCTGGAATAACCGCAGTTACTTATCGATGGCATTTTTCAAAGGTTTTCAAAGACAGGATTATTTTCACAGATTGAGACCTGCCTAATATTCTTCTACTATGCAATAGGTGTTTTCTTTTCACAGCGTGTGACCGCTGGTTTCTAATAATGTTTCTCTTGGGTTGAATAGATTTGTCTTTTTTTGGGCTTGTACATCGCTGGAAGTTCCTGAAGTCGACCAGCAGCTTTAGGAACCTACAGTGAGAATTTCTCCTCACAGGCAAAGTGAACATTTAACACGGCTACAGACAGACACAGGTAATAATTGCATGTTTCTATGTCACTGTGTAGAAAGGTCGTTCACCACAACTGATCCAACAGCTGCGAGGTGTGCACGCCCAAAAACTGAGAATGTACAACCAGAGTGAAATGAAAGTTTAAAGGGGCAGTTCACCCAAATTTCTAAAAGGGAAAAAAAAAAAAGATTTTGTCACTTGCCTTTAGTCGTGTTTGGCAGTTTTGGTCGTATTTGGTTTTGAGTCCTTTGTCTCTGAGATTTCTGCCTCCAACTTAATAACAATGGAAGTCAATGGAATGTTATTTGTTGCCATATTAGCAGCCAGACCAAAATAAATTGGAAACTATTGGATAGATTGCCATTATATCAACTGCGCTATTCAAAGTCCCTGAAGGATAAATTCTTCTCATTTTGGCGATTTCTTAAATTTTCACTTTCAGTCTGGCTCATGATCCAATATCCTCAAAGCTAATATTTCCATCGGCCTCAGCTGTACTTTGCTAGAGCTGCAATGATAAGTTGATTGGCCGATTGACAAAATAAATTGGCAACAATTTTGATTATTGAATAATTGATTTAGTTGGGTTTTTTAAGCAGAAAAGCCAAAAATGTTCTAGTTTCTTGCATCTTATGCTTTTCTTTGTCCTACATTATGATTAATAGTTTTGAATCTTTGAACTGTTGGTCGGATAAAACAAAATCTCTCTGCAAAAAATAAGCGGTTTGGTTTCCGTTTGTTGTCACGTTCAAATGGGCAGGTTAACAGTTCGCTCGGAGGGGCAGACACATGGGCTGAAATACTGTCTTGAAACCGACTGGCTAAAGTCCGATGACAATGTAGCTTCCTATAAGTGTTTGTTAGTTACAGAAATTAACTGAAATAACCAGTGGAAGATGAAGTCTTGGCCCGAATATCCACTAGTTACTCCGGATCAGCCTGAAATACTGGCCCTCGCCTGGGTTACGAGACTGGATAACATACAGTTTGAAGACCGAAATAACACGGGGCATGTTTCACTACTTTGACATTTTATTGAAGAAACGAATGGGCCGATTTATCGATAACAAAAATAATCGTTACTTGCAGCCCTAGTGTGTAATGCCAATTAGTTAATCTCAGCATCCTAACACACTTAACTTCCATTTAATCTGCTAAACATCTGCATGTTAGCATTGCTATTAACTTGTTAGCATGCCGACGTTAGCCTTTAGCTCAGTACAGCCTCATAGAGCTGCTGACCACGAACAACGAAACAAAATTCCTTTACCTCCATTGTATCAAGAGGCAGCAGGAATCCTAAAACCTGAGTAAATAACACCAAAATTATCTGCATGTCCTGACACCACCAGTCAGTCCCTCCAGGATTTCGCAGGCTTTTTGGGGGGAATTATTGCAGCCTAAGATGCCCGACTACATGGCAGCTTTTCTAAAAGAGCTTTTCGGTGTTTTTTTTGCGATTAAATTGCGGGAGTAGATTGTAAAACTAGTCGTAAATTTTAGTACAATTCATTAAGGCAACTTGCACCAGTGAGAATAAAACCGCACTGCTCTGAGTTTGTGATTTATACTACACATGTTATCACTAACCTGCCAATACAAACTCACCATGATTCTTTGAACATGTACAATTTATCTGGATGCAGCAGCCTTTGTCATGTTGTTTAGTCCTGTCTGTTGTCGACACATTTCTAGAATCAATTTGTCAAAGGATGTCGTTTATGTTCCACCTCAACGTTGCACACGATGCAAAACAGCTTAAACCTGCTCTCTTGCAGAACGTCAGCCGTGCACAACCTTAAGCAGTAATGTGAAAAAAGTACAGATAGTCGAATACAATCTTTACTGATTGCGATACCTGAACTTTCATATTGGCTGATACCGAATACTGGGGATGCACGATGTTGGATTTCTTGCGGATATCTGATATGCCGATATGTAACGACTCATTTGTCCGATAACTGATACCGATGTTGATATATCCACTTTTTTCTCCACCTAATTTTAGTGATCAAGTCTCTTCTGCAGTGGAATAAACATCATATTATGCATGCATACTCTTATCATGATGGCCCACCAGCAGATGGAGACATGAAATGCAGTAGTTTTCAGTGTATGTAAAATTAGAAAAAAACATGTCGGCCAATTCTGATATTTCATTTTAAAGCCAAAATTGGCCGATAAGTTGACGTGCCGATATTATCATGCATTCCTACGGAGTACCAATCCAATACCGTGGTATACTGCTGACCCTGTATGGGTGTGAAATAACTGCTATCGTTGTGTTTACTATCAGGTTAAACCCGAAAACACAAACAAACACATACAGAGAATAAATGCCTGCCACTTTATTTTATTATCTAGTTTGACTGTCAGTCAAAAAATAATAATACAATCTTAGTTATAAATAACATTTCCTTTAAATAACTTACATTGCAGCAACACTTGTAGTGCAGCACCAGCTGAACGTTCAGGGAATCAATTCTTCTTCGCTGCTTTAAAAAAAAGTAGTTGCCAGTGGCTGTTCAGCGCAACTTGTTGTGTAGGCTACCGTTTTAGAGCAACAAGGAAGAATTGATATCTGGGTGTGAAACTGCTTCAGAGTTTATTAATAAATTGTGTGAAATTATCAAATCGAATTATCGTATACTTGCAGATACCTGATCGGGCTTTGGGAAGTAGGCTTATCCGATACTGATATTGGAACAACTCCAGAAACAAAAGTGATTTTGTTGACGTGCGGTGGACTGCTATGATTGGCAGAGCTCACAAAGGAAGTTGTGGTGAATGGATAAAATTTCAAGGTCTTGCAGAATTCACAGATATTGGTTGAATTTGCTTTAATTGTTGCCCACCACAGCACTTTGGCAACAATAGGCTTATCACACATTGGGTGAAGTGCTCCTTTAAACTTTACCAGAAGCCAGTTATTATTACTTAAGTTTTTGTGTCACTAGGCAAGTTGTTTTGACAGTACTGTAGTCTCTTTGCTTTCTAAACACTCACCAACAAATCACTGTCGTCACTCCCTGTGTAGCTGGTTGTTTTGTACCACGTGCAAAGGGCTGCGAAAAAAAAGCTCCTAGTTCAGGTACTGATGTAAATGGTGTATGTAAAGATGTTGTAAATGTACGTATGATGGCAACTCCATGCACTGTCACGCAAACATCATGAGGTTTGTATGTAACAATGTAGATGCATTGACTGTTTTAAGTGTACATGTCAGATAAAAGTAACATTTTACTTGTAAATATAGCTTAAGGCGGACTGAGGCTCATCATGTTCAGTACACAGAGTTTAAATTGTTTTGTAGTGTTTTCCACTGTTGGCCTTTGTCGGAGCGTCACTAATCATGCACAAATGATTTGTCCAATTGGCACCTTATTGATATGTTAACATGCGTATTTTCGGGGTTACATGGGGCTTGTAGTCACACTCTGTGCTTTGTCATGATATGCAGTTTTCTCACTGAAACCTGTCCGAGGCTAACGGATAAAATGTCATTTCAATAAGACAAGCGGCACAGGTTACACTTCTCTCTCCCCGTGTGCGTGTGATTTTGGTGATAAAATGATTGATCATCGAAGGCTTTGAGCTGAAAGTCACATAGATTTTTTTTTTTTTTTTAAAATTTCTTTCCCTTTTTATTGTTTACTCATCAGAAAAACATCATTCTGCCTCCACGGAGACACTGAATGATTAGTATTAATTTTAGCACTTGATTGGCAAGTAAATTTTTCTTTTTTTTTTTTTATTTTTACACATCATTACGTATATTTTTAAAATATGGTTGATTATAAGATGTGTACATCAACACGTGCATAATTTGAAGTGGAAATTTTGTGATGACTTACAAGAGATTCCTCGACATGTATAGATTATTGGAAAATGTCAACACATGCAAATGATTTTTAGTAGCTGAATAAAGTCACATGATGGAATTCAACGAGTGAGGACAATGTTTAATTGAAATGTCATGAATTAAAGGAACAGTTCACCCCAAAATCAAAAGTGCATACACTGCTCAAAAAATAAGGGAACACTTAATGGTGACAGTGTAACACCAAAATCAATTAAACTAAAGGGATATCAATCCGTCCATTTAGGAAGCACAAGTGATTGTGAATCAGTTTCAGCTGTTTAGGTACAAATTAAAGTGACAACAGGTGCAATGGAGAGGCAAAGGCAAGACAACCTCCAAAAAAGGAATGGTTTTACATGTGGTGGCCACAGACAGTTGCTCTCTCCTTATCCCTCCTGACTGATTCTTCTCTAGTTTTGTCTGCTAGTGTCCTTGTCACTGCATGAGGCAGTACCTGCAGCCCAATCAGGTTGCACAGGTAGTCCAGCTCCTCCAGGATGACACATCCATAGGTGCAAGAAGAGCACAGTCTTAAGAGCATGAAGGAGATACCAGGAGATGGGCCATTACACAAGGAGAGCTGGACACGGCCGTAGAAAGGCATCAACCCAGCAGCAGGACCAGTATCTGCTCCTTTGTGTGAGGAGGAACAAGAGGAGCACTGCAAGAGCCCTGCAAAATGAGCTCCAGCAGGCTACTGGTGTGCATGTTTTGGACCAAACTGTCAGAAACAGACTCCACAAGGGTGGCATGAGGGCCCGATGTCCCCTAGTGTGACCTGTGGTCACAGCCCAGCACCGTGCAGTTCAATTAACATTCATCAGAGAACACCAGAATTGGCAGGTCTGCCACTGGTGCCCCGTTCTCTTCACAGATGAGAGCATGTTCACACTGAGCACATGTGACAGGCGTGGTGACAGTATGCTGCCTGTAACATAATCCAGCATTAGTGGTTTGGCAGTGGGTGAGTGATGGTCTGGGGAGGCATATCCTTGGAGGGTCGCACAGACCTCCATGTCATAGCCAACAGTACCCTGACTGGTGTTAGGCACCTGGATGAAACCCTCAAAGTGATTGTCAGACTTTACGCTGGTGCAGTGGGTCCTGGGTTCCTCCTGATGCAGGACGATACCCAGCCTCATGAGGGATGATGAAGGCACTGATGCCATTGACTGGTTCTCTAGTTCCTCTGACCTAAATCCAATTGAGCACCTATGGGACTTTATGTATTGTGCATCCGATGCCACCAAGTACCACCACAGACTGTCCAGGAGCTCACTGATGCCCTGATCCAGGTCTGCCAGAGCTCTACAAAATGACCTCCAGTGGGCTACTTGTGTGCATGTTTCTGACCAAACTGTCAGAAGGCAGACATCTCTACAGCCGAACTGTCCCTTTAACGCCCAGTTTCCATTATTTCTTGCTTTAACAAGTCAACCATTTGAGTTACTGACTAAAGTCAGGTGGTTAAACATTTATTTTGACCTGAGCCTTAATAAGAAAAGTCTACCTGAGTTTGGCCCACACGTCATCTGCTGAGTGAAAATGGTGGAATTTGGAGAGATTCTGAGAACTATCGGCGACTTTGGATTCTTCCAGAAGCTCATTCTTTCTGGGATAACCTTACCAAACATATTACTGCCCATTTTATTTTCTAGTTTTCTTTTTATTGAGTCAGATCCAGAGCGACACTGTAACACAGACTGGATCCTGCAGGCTGACTCTAACCTGACCACAGACGAGCAGCTGAACCTGACTCTGCCTAGGGAAGAGGATGGAACCTTCAGCAAGTGTCGGATGTTTGTCCCTGTGGACCGGGACATTGGTGCCATCAGGGAGTACGGACTCAATGAGACCACAGGGTGCCAGAATGGATGGGTTTATTACAACACGCTATACGAGGCCACCATAGTCACTGATGTAAGTCGAGTGTGATGTGTGATCTGTGTTTTTTTCTTTGGTATCACCTGTCCTGATTGCCCTACTGATTTTGACAGTGCTGTTTTGCAGTTTGATCTCGTCTGTGAAAAATCTAACATGGCTCACGTTGTGCAGACAGTCTTTATGGCTGGTTTACTTGCTGGTTCATTCATCTTTGGACCCTCAGCAGAATCGTAAGTGACTTTGAAAATACATATTAAGTCCTGTGCAGGGTTCCTACACAGTATGGGAAAATACGAAATTTGATTTCCAGGTCTGGTCTAAAAAAGAAAAGGGTATGGAAAAAGTTTTATTTCCAGACTACAGCCCCTATTTTGTTCTCTATAACAGTAGTTCCCAGCTGGTGGGTGGTGATCCGAAAGCACATCGTGACTCATGAACATGTCAAGTTAGTAAAAATACACACTTTATTTTGAAGTACAATGAATTTCCAGCACATAGATTTTATTTTGAAGTGTTGTTTCCTGCTGTAGAATGAGTGAATAATGGACAGCTACTTAACAGAGACAGCAAACTAGCTCGACGACATGGCCAAACGCAAGTATGGCACTGGATATGATGCTGTGTGAACCTTGAGCTAATGACTAAGGAGAAATCTGGAACCCATGACTGGACCAGTTGGGAATCACTGCTCTAAAATATAAAGTTCAGACTTTCTAAAGATAAATTCATAATACAAATAGTGTTTTTAATGAAGTGTGGCGTGAGACTGGATACTCTCTTACACAGAGTGCCTTATAGCTGAACCAAATCTGAACATGCAAGACCAAAGTAGTTTGAAAGCAAAAGCAGCAATATCTTTGAATTGCATACATACCTATAATCATATATAACCAAAATGAAGCTTGTCTGAACATTCATTTTATTTTGTTTTTATTTTACCCATTTAACCAGGCCAGAACATCCTCCAAAACAGTGGGAGGGGCATCACACAAATTTTCGTAGTGGCCAAAGTTCTGAGGCCATCATGTGATGCTCATAAGTGCTACATCATAGGCAACCAGACATTTCGCCTCTCATCCAAGAGGCTTCTTCAGTTCTAACAGACTGGTGCAAAGTTACAGGCTTTAAACTCTGTGCAGTTGTGAACCCTTACAGAGTCATTGAGGTCACATGTGAGTTGTTGACCCACCAAGCCATCATATGTGTTGTTAGGGTTAGATATCATCTGGGAAGGGATCCCAAGACTGCATTCCATCCATTCATTTTCATCTGCTTACGGGCATCGGGGTCGCAAGGGCAGCAGGCCAAGCAAAGCAACCAGACTTCCCTCTCCCCAGCAACACCCTCCAGCTCCTCCTCTGGAACCCATGGTTTTCCCAGGCCAGATGAGATATGTAATCACTCCAGCGTGTTCTGGGTCTACCCCAGAGCCTCCTAGCAGTGAGACCTGCCTGGAACAGGAGGTGCCTAGGTGGCATCCCGATTAGATGCCCGAACCATTTCAACTGACCCCTTTCGACGCAAAGGAGCAGCGGCTCTACTCCGCTCTATCTCCACCTTAACGTGGTGGAGGGGTTGGTGTGTCCCTGTGAACCTGGGAGCTGCGTTGTCAGGGGCTAATAGCCCCTGGTAGGGTCTCCCAAGACAAAGTGGTCCCAGGGGAGGGGCCAGACTAAAAGCAATTCAAGAAGACCTTGATGAAATGGACTTTTCTGACTTCGAGCACTTCACCCGGTATAGGGACACTGGTTTTGGTCAGTCTCAAACAGTGCTCTGCAACTTGGCAGGCGTCTCCCCTAGGTGTCACGCCATCACCTCCACCTCCTGTGAGAAATTCGGCTCATAGACTATGTCACTTTAGAAACATTGATATGATATGTATGAAATGTGCAGATGTAACAACTGCGTAGTTTCCTGAAATGTATCATGCCAACATTTTCTTCTGGTGACTGAGCTGGACCATAATGAAATGTGGAAATGAACTTGTACAGGTCCAGGGCCTGGTCTCAAATCCTGGAGTCCAGGTAAACCCATGAAGACCTCTACTGCACAGACACCCTGAAAATTAAATGAACTTTTTTGAAATAATTGTCCGTCCTTATTTATAAAAGAGACTGAAAAATATGGGGGGAACAAAAATATTATTTGTTCAATATGTGAAGGGAAAATAATAAAGGTACAGTCAGCAGTGGAGAGATGACTTCCTCTTAGGGCAGAGATGTGATCATGGAACATCATCCAACTTTCTACGTGGAGTGTGGAATGAGCGTCCGCATTGGGTAAATGCAAGTTTACCAAGGGCTAACTATTTGTAGTCAGATGTTGAATATGGTCTGAAAAATCTACCAAAAAGTCTGGAAAGATTTTGAAATTTGAGTCTGGAATTTTGATATGGAAAACGTGTAGTAACTCTGCAAAGTCTAAGAAAACTGCAACCTTTAAACCCTTCATTTGACTTTCGCACCCTCTCTGAACTTTTAGGCACGGCCGGAGGAGAGCAACCCAGATACCAGCCGTAATTCTGCTGATATTCATCATAGTTGCGGGCGTGTCTCCAAATTTGTACGTTTACATAGTGTCACAGTTTATAGTTGGAGCTGCACTCGGAGGATACAGAATTAACTCCACTGTATTGGGTAAGATGTATTTTTATTTCACCAACATCATGAAGATGTCCTGCTCTTAAATTCTACCTCTGATTTTGTTGTTTAAATTCTGTCTGTAGCTACAGAGTGGATTGGGATCACCAAGAGGTCCTTTGCCTCCTGTATGAGCCAGATGTTTGCAGCTGTTGGACAGTGTGTCATGGCTGGTCTGATCTATGTCATCCGTGACTGGAGAGTGGCGCAGTATGTCATGGCAGGAGCACAGGCCTTTGTATTGCTGTACATATGGTATGTGTTGTTTAAACCTTTTTACTTTTATTTGTTTTTTTTTGTATTTGGACATTAACGCTTTTCCTGATCATACCTGCCAGTTCAGCCATGTGTGTATCTTGGCGTCATAGCTCTGCTGCATAATGAGATAATGCAAAACCAGTGCTGTTATAGTGTATTCAGGAGGACTGCTGTGTAACTAACCTCGCTGGTAAATCAGTTTCTGATTCAGACAAATTAATAACAGTTTGTACGTGACTCCACCATTTGGATTAGGGCTGGGCAATTCATCAATATTACACCTATATATTGATGAGACTAGACATTGTGTTAGATTTTGGATGTTTTTAATATCATCAGTGTTTTCTTTTCCTGGTTTTCAAGGCTGCATTACAGTAAAGTGACTGTTAGTATGTATTTTTACATCTTCACTGACCAGTGGATACTAGGTCAAGAACCCCTGAGGATCATGTTCCGCAAGGACAGCTGTCATGGCGTCAGAAGTGCTAGATGGACAAGTTAGACTAATTTTAGTTGGCCCAAGGCCAAGTTAAATTTGGCAAAGCATCATTTAGGTAACAGAGTGTACCTGACACCATCCTATCTATACTGTGTCTCTCTCTGTTCACTTCATCACATAGCTTCTGCATGTAGTCATTGTTGATCCAAGCTCGTAATAAACATGCATTAAGAAAGAACTCCGTGATCGGCCTCATCCTTGAACTTTCCAGATCATCGTAGAAACACTTACTCTCAGTGACGTAACTTTCTGAACTCACCAGACTGTTCCAGCTGTTCTTTTATTTGCCTTTATTACAGAAAACATGTGTCGCACACTCTGACTCCATATGCATTTCCTTTATTTTGTTGACGTTTTGGCCTTAAGGCCTTCTTCAAGATCAACAATCATACTGAGACACAGGTACACTGTTACACAGGCCAAAAAAACAGTTAAGAGGCCCTCAATAAATCAAGACCTTTAAACCAAACAGTGCCAGGAGCTACAGCTAGTCACATTAAACAAACGACAACAGCCACTGTACATATTCCACTACATTTCATTAATTAATATTAATTTAATTTAATATACATTTTTGTAGAAAGGTGAGAAGTGAGATCTTAAAGTCTACGTGGGCTGTTGAGTGTCTGGTCTGTCTCAGCCTGTTCAACCTGTTCATGCTATCGACTGCAAATCTCTCCCCAAGTTTTATGTTAGCTGCCCCATGAGCTGACCTGACCTTCGTACTTTGAGCTGACGTGATGATGTTGTCACATCATTAATTATCTAATTAAATTCTCACATGTCAAACATATTTTTTATAATATTTTCTGTTCAAGTTCAAAATTTAAAACAAATGTCCAGATATCCTATGAGTTATTGTAAAATAGCCAACTATTTACAGACTGTGTTGTTCTACCCCTTGTCAATAGGGGGTGCTGCAGCATTCTCAGCAGCACCCACCATCCTGTGCCCAAGTATGGCTGTATGCTCAAGGACCTAACATGGTTGTGGTGATACACTATTTAAGTTACTGATTAATATTGTCATCGACTGCTGACTCCTCAATCCTATTGACTGGTCGGTAGGAGCCACAGGTCACCAACAAAATCACATAGCGAAGGGCATTTCTGTTAATCGACTTGGCTAAAAACAACAAGTTTTAGTGTCTGTTCGAGGCAATGTTTTGGCCTTTCTCTTAAAGTTTGGGTTTATTCTTAACTGGAGCATCTGCAGATTAACTCCATACCCAATTTGTTATGATCCACTAAAGTTAGGCACGATATCTTCACCACCATCTTGAGTGTAAAGGAGCTGAAAGGGACAATGCACAATAGACTCGCTGCGATCAGCTCCGGCGGATATCTGCATATAACTAGAGCGCACTTTTCTAGTTTGGATTGTGATTAATGTTTTCAGGTGGATTCCTGAATCTGCACGGTGGTTGCTTGGACGGGGCAGAACCGAAGAAGCGAATATGTTGATACGTCGAGTTGCAGCAATCAATAAAAAGCAAATCCCAGACAATCTGCTGGACGAGGTAATTCAGATTCAATACTATTTACATTTGATCAGATGAGACTTTAATGATCCATCAGAAGACAAGATTTAACAGTCACAGCCACGCCCACAGTGACAATGCTAACACGTTCATGTTTATGTTCTCCATCTGGGGTCCTCAATGTCCTCTTAATATGACTCATTAAAGAGATCTTTCAAACAGGCCAGTGGATTCCAAACCGGAGCCCTCCCACAATATACACTGCTCAAAAAAATTAGGTGAACACTTAAATCACACATCAGATCTTGATGAATGAATTATTTAAGTTGAAAATCTTTACTGATGCTCATTGTATAATTTGTTGAGAACAATATGATGTAACAACGGCCATTCAACGGTCAATCATCAACCCACTGAGGGCTGGATTCAAAATCACACTGAAAATCAAAGTAAATCACAGGCTGATCCAACTTGTCTGACTTTCATCATCTCATAATGTGACTCAGTAGTGTGCACAGCCTGGGGGATCCCCTCCAAGACCTGTATGAGGGCATCAGTGAGCTCCTGGACAGTCTGTGGCAGTGCTTGGCGCCATCAAATGCACCGATACATAACAGCCTATAGGTTCTCAATTGGATTCAGGTCAAGGGAACAAGAGGGCCAGTCAATGGCATCAGTGCCTTCATCATCCAGGAACTGCCTACACACTCTGTCCACATGAGGCTGGGCATTGTCCTGCACCAGGAGGAACCCAGGGCCCGCTACACTAGGAGGAACCCAGGGCCCACTGCACCAGGAGGAACCCAGGGCCCACTGCTCCAGCGCAAGGTCTGACAGTCACTCTGAGGATTTCATCCCGGTACTGAGCAGTAGCCAGGGTACTCTTGGCTATGGCATGGATATGGTGTGACCCTCCAAGGATATGCCTCCTCAGACCATCACTGATCCACCGCCAAACTAGTCATGCTGGATGGACATCTGTGAAGAGAACGGGGCGCCAATGACAGACCTGCCAATCCTGCAGAGTGCTGGGCTGTGAACACAGGTCCCACTAGAGGACGTCAGGCCCTCATGCCACCCTCATGGAGTCTGTTTCTGACGGTTTGGTCAGAAACATGCACACCAGTAGCCTGCTGGAGCTCATTTTGTAGAGCTCTGCCTGAGCTCCTTCTGTTCCTCCTCACGCAAAGGAGCAGATACTGGTCCTGCTGCTGGGTTGAAGCCCTTCTACGGCCCTGTCCAGCTTTCCTTGTGTAACGGCCGGTCACCTGGTATCTTCTCCGTGCTCTTGAGACTGTGTACACAGCAAATCTTCTTGCAACCACACGTATCAATGTGCCATCCTGGAGGAGCTGGACTACCTGTGCAACCTGATTGGGCTGCAGGTACCGCCTCATGCTGCCAGTAGTGACAAGGACACTAGCAGAACACAAAACTAGAGAAGAATCAGTCAGGAGGGATAAGGAGAGAGCAACTGTCTGTGGCCACCACATGTAAAACCATTCCCTTTTTGGAGGTTGTCTTGCTTTTGCCTCTCCATTGCACCCGTTGTCACTTTTGAGTTTTGATTTGCACCAAAGCAGGTAAAACGGATTCACAATCACATGTGCTTCCTAAATGGACACATTGATATCCCTGAAGTTTTACTGACTTGGTGTTAGACTGTGACAATTAAGTGTTCAGTTAATTTTTTTGAGCAGTGTTTTAACTGTTAGTCGGCCACTAGCAGCTGTATTTTTCAGGGTGCTGTCTTTGTATTGTAATCATACACTTGCCCTTCAGATCACTGGGGACCGAGAAGTCAAAAGTGGAGGACTCAAAGCTGTTTTTGCCTCCGCAGTCCTGATTAAATATTTAATCATCATATCTTTCGCTTGGTAAGTAAAGCACATTTTGGACTGCAGTTTTCAGTGTTACATAATTTAATGTTTGCATCACGTTTGTGTTCTTGTGATTCGAAGGTTTTCATTTAATCTAGGCTACTTCTGCCTCGTTCTGAATGTGGGTAAGCTTGGTCTGAACATCTTCCTGGTTCAGTTCCTGTTTGGGATCTTTGAGATGCCGGGACATCTCCTCTGTATCTGGGGCCTGGAGCTGATAGGGAGAAAAAAATCCCTGACGTTAACCCTCCTGGCAGGCAGTGTTATTTGCCTCTTAACGCTGGCGTTCCCTCAAGGTGAATTCTTTTCCTTCACGTTCAGTACATATGAGGACACATCCATCTGACTGTCAGTGGTTTCATACACTGTTCTTATATTCCAGACAATGCTATTGTCATCACGGCCCTCTCAACTGTTGGGAAGTTCTTTCTGAACTGGGCCGGTTCAGTGTGTATGGTCTACAGTCAGGAGCTGTTTCCTACTTCTGTCAGGTACGCAAAATAAATGTATACAAAATATGTAACTATAATAAAAACCTACACATGCAGCCAGGGTTCTGATGAAGAATGGTTTATAGTCAATTATAGACTCATTTACTTTATTGTATTTATGTTGTTAAAAGTCATAATATTCCTTTTTATCTGTTATTTATTATTATTATTATTATTTTTATTAATAGGATTGTATATTTTTTTTATCCTTATCAGTACTATTTGTCCTGGTTTTCTTTTTTTCTTTAAAATCTGTGTGGTTAGGTTTTTAGTCTAGCGTTTATTTAGGTATTCTATTGTTGTTATTAATATCCTTTAAATGTATTTTATATTTTATCTTTTATTATCTTTTTTATCTAATTTATCTAGATTTAAATGTAGGGTTTTATCTAACTATTTTAAAACAACATCAATGATGATTATAATAATTACTTTATTATTATTATTGTTATTATGATTATGATTATTATGATTATTATTATTAGCAGTAGTAGTAGTAGTATTTAGTATTATTAGTATATTAATATATTTAAGTGTCATCATTCTTTTCTTTGTTTGTCTTTTTAATCTGTTTTATCTGATTTTAAGTTTATAACTATTTAATAATAATTATAACAAATATGTGTGTATTTAAATATGTATGTATGTTTTTCATCTAGTTACTGAGTGCAGCTTTTATTTAATTTTTTATTATCATTGTTATTATCATAGTTTATTAAATTATATCATTTTTTATTGTTTATAATTGCTTTGACTTTTTAATAAATTTTTATCAAATTGAAAGTCTAGTATTTATTAAACTAATTGGTATTATTAATAATAATATTTCAATAATAATAATTGTGTATATTAATATTATATCAGCTTTTAAATAAATATTAAATATTGTCATTATTCTTGTTTTGTTTTTTTTAATTTATTGAATGTAGTCTAGCTTTTATTGATCTATGTTATGACAACAAACATAATAATTATTATTATGAGTAGTAGCTGTATATCCTATAAATATATTTCATTGGTTTTTATTGTCATAATTTGTTCATATTTTTAATGTGTTTTATGTAGTTTTTAGTCTCTAGCTTTGATTTCACTCTGTTTTAATAACATTACTGTTTTCATAGCTTTTAAATCTATTTTATTACATTTTCATCATTTTATTGTCTCTTTATGGTCTCAAACTGTCAACATTTTATTATTCTTTATTACAGTCTAACTGTTTTGTCTTATAATCAGCTTGTTGGTGAAGCACTGATAGCTACACCAACCAGTATGAAACACAAGTAATGTTTTATTGAGTGTTTACAGATATTCTTCATATGTACATATTTACAAAGTGAATTGGACTCTTTCAGACAAACAGCTGTGGGCTTGGCCTCTATAGCCTACAGAGCAGGAGGTTTAGTGTCTCCGCTGCTCAACATGTTGGATGTGTACCACTGGTCCATACCTGTCATAATCTACAGCAGCCTTTCACTAATCAGTGGCGCGCTAAGCTTCCTACTTCCTGAGACCAGGAGAACAGAGCTTCCTGATTCAACTGCTGAGGCCGAGGGCAACAGGTGAGACAGTCGCATGATTCACAGAGGAGTTGTGTCAGTATGGGCTTTTACTGGGGTCAGTTACAGGCCAACCACCAGGGGGCATCCATCCACAACAAGCTTGTGCTCCTCAGCATGCTACTTCTCATTATAATTTGTCGGCAATTTAAGGCTCATAATTGTTCTTGAAGTTTTACTGAAACTTTCCATACATGATCACAATGATAGTTATGAACATAAAGATGACAGTTTCCTAAAAAGTTATACAGGTGATAGTCAAAATTATGTAATCTAATTCCTTCGTTTTCATTCTAGGAATATGACCACCAAGAAGACAGGAAGTGACTCCAACATGGCCGAACACAACATCAAAAAATCCACCAGACTCTAATTGGAATACTGTATTTTTTACCTCCACCAAAGAGGTTACGCTTTTTGTTCGGTTTGTCTGTCAGCAGGGTTACATGAAAACTACTGGCCTGATTCTCATGAAACCTGGAGGAAGGTTGAAGGACCGAATCAAAGAGAGGATACACAAATTAATTTTCTTTACATTGCCAGATAGGGTTTTTGGTCTTGCCGTAATAAATGCCATGCATCTTAAAATCCAGAAGACAGTTGTGAAGTTTGAAGTAGTAATATGATGATCGGATAGCAACCATGATTGTATCAACGCTGTTTCCTAAAACTAAGGTGTGGCCGTGGAAACGTAAATACATACACGTCATGCAACTGATTATATTCTTACTCACATCTTAATTTGCAATAAACTTCTCTAAAGATGTTCAGGAAAAATGTCCCAATTTTATGCTTCACAAGAACAAGCAATAATATTGACCATGAAGTTTGCACTTGTGGCATGGGCGTAATCCAGGGGAAGGTACACTGGGGACACCCCTCCTCCACTTCAGACAAAACTAACATGTTTTATCTACTGGTAAGCCAGAACTTTAAAACCAGTGACAGGTGAAGTGAATAATATTGATCATCTTGTTACAGTGCAGTGTTCTGCTGGGAAACCTTGTGTCCTGACGTTCATGTGGATGCTACTTGATGTGTTCCACCCACCCAGACACCATTACAGGCCAAGTACCCCCCCCCTCGTGGCAACAGCACTCATTAATGGCAGGGAGTAGTAAAAAATGTGAAATAGGTCATTCCAGCACCCACACGCCATGGAGGATATGCTATCTCACTCTTGTGTGCAGTGTCTGATTTTCACAGACATGAAATGTCGCGTCAATCAGCATCCTGCCAGCACCTCCACGTTGCGCAAAGGTGCAAGGGCCCGTTCATCGCTGTTTGCAGATTTAAATTTTTGTTTGTAACTGTTGCATAATCGTATGCTTCACTTGAGGGGGAACTTTACTGTGACTATTGGCACAACAGGGTGCCAGGGCCTAGGTGCTTGCACACACTCTAGGGTAATGTTTAAGGTTAGGATAATGTTTTCGTTTAAAGTAATGCGAATTAAAGTGGTTGTAATGGTTTAATGTGTGCTTGTGACACTAGCAGCACAAATGCAAACTAGATCAAACAAACTAACCTGCTGGTTATATAGATATAAATGGCCCATTCTGTAGGATTTAGGGTCATCTATTGGCAGAAATGGTATGAAATATTCATAGCTATGTTTATATTATTGTATAATGACCTGAAAATAAGAAACAGTGTGGTTTCATAACTTTCAGATTAGTTTGCATGTGCGATGTGAACTGTGGTCTCCTTTGTAAACTGAAATTGCTACATTGTGCCACAGTTCCTAAATGCAGCACTCAATCATATACAGCAACCTTGAAGGCAGAAATCTGATGAGAAATGTACGACAATGGATACAGTCGTACATTTCTCATCAGATTTCCATGCCTTTCCTTGCCTTCAAGGTTGCTAGCCATAAATAATTAAATATATGATGCTTTACCATTCAGGGCATGCACGGAGATTGTTCCAAAGTTTAGAAGCTCTGCTATAGCCTATATATTTTGGCAAGACGAGATCCTGTTTAGTTTGTAGTCTCTGTGGGTGAATGGAAAACATGGAAACTCACACAGACAGAAAGAGAATAAGCATGAAACACAACACGGGAGCGGGATGGGACAGGAGTCATTCTTGTGGGATTGGGACGGGATGGGATTATTTTTGTGGGAGTGGGATGGGACAGGACTGAAAATCCTGTGCTACATTTGTATAGTGTAAGCATCTTTGTTACTTTACTTGCAGGCATAAGAAAAAAAGTTAGATACACTGAATATTATTTGATCTTTTCCACCATTACCTGTATTCCAAATATTGTGGAGGTGTGTGGTTTAGGTGCCATAAATACCCCTATATTTTCTAGTGAGACATTGCCACCCCAAAATGATCACATAACCATCCTGGCCACCCCACAGAAAATTTTCTGGCTCCGCCACTGGATGGCGGTGGTCCCCCAGCAGGACAATACACCCAGGGGCGGAAATCCCAGGGGGGACAGGGGGGACATGACTCCCCCTTCAATAAAGCTGTACCCCCCTAGAATCATTTGAGACACAATTAATAATTTTTGAACAATGCAGTAGTATTTATTAAAAGCACAATGTAAGCGGTGCTCATTATAATCAGGCAATAATGTGCTATTTAAATCTTAAAAGATTTAGTCCCCCCCTCCCATTCCTAGTAGTGGTATATCCCACACTCTTTCCAACGGGCGGGGCTAGCAGCCGTTAGTACTTGGCAGCAGTTGCAGCGTGTGGCAGGACCCTGCTGCCCACATCGCGCGGGGTAAGATGTACACTCACACAGACACAGTTTAAGTTACACAAGTTACAACACATCCCATTTACTGTTACAACAAGCCCCAGGCTCAGGCTGATAATATAAACTGTCTGCAACATTTCTCCTGCATTGTTCAAAAGCCAGAGTTTAGTAATAGTTAGAGAGGACAGGAGAGAAAGAAGAGGGAGAGGACAGGACAAGAGCAGTCAGTGGTGGAGCGGCTCGTAGTTAATATCTGTAGGCTCTCCACCTATCAGTGAGACACACATGACAGACGTGCAGTTTAACTGACGAGGAGGAACAATCTGATCGAGCATCAGCGGGACGTGTCGGTACCCCAGAGGTGCTCCTGATCCACAGTGGGAACTCCTTGGTTTGTACTTTGCTCTGACCAGTCTAGGCACGGAACAGCATGTAATGGCATGGTATGAACAGTGGTTACATGAGCCTCACAACCAGCCACAACTCAGCCCTGAGTAGAGTGACCGTCATCTATTGACCAATCAACAGACTGCAGTGTTCACAGCTCCACCTTTTAGTAGCAGACCTGTGTGCTAGGTACCCCAACAGAGAGGGGACCAAAAATGGGGACGGTACGGAACAGTTCTATTGGTACCATCCACAACTTTTTACAGTGGAAACTAAAAAACAAGCGGCTTTTGAGTCCTGTCAGTCCAGAGGTGAGGTTCCAGCATGTCCCACAGGTGCCTGATCAGATCGGGATCTGGGGAATTTGGAGGCCTGCGACACCTTGCGCTCTTTGTCAAGTTACTCGGGTCATTCCCGAGCAGATTTTGCTGTGATAGAGCATAGACCTGCATGAGCAGCCACAGCCATCAGGAAGTGCTGTCGCCGTAAGGGAGTATACTTGAACTGTAAATGTGTTCAGGTGGCTGGAGCACGTCAGGTAGCATCCACATAAATACCAGGACCAAAGGTTTCCCAACAGAACATTGTACTGTAACAAGATGATCAAAGTTATTCACTTCACCTGTCACTGTCTTTAATATTTTGCCTGATCAGTGTACATATGTAGAGACAAAACTGCTCCATAGGATTATTTTTGATCTAAAAACAGTTTCTTTTTTCATACTTTGTTACATTTTAACATGAAAAAAAATGAATTTTACTCCTCTCTTAACATATTTTTGCTTTATTGCACCAGCTTTTTTTGTTTTTGTACAAAGTTTCTGAATGTGAAAAAGATACATGAAATAAGGTAGGCACTAACCCCCTAGCCCCAGTTGTCTGGTTTTTGACTGGAAAATTAGTTAAACGGTGACATATTTAAATCTCTAAGCGTCTCTCTGTCCACACTGAAAAGTTAAATATGCAATTCCGTTACCTCAGAACTGAAGGAGCCTCTTGGCTCGGAGGTGAAACGTCTTCAAAAAACTTAAGCAAGTCCAGTTGCCTGCGATATAGCACCTAAGATTCAGTTTGTGGTTTGATTAACGCATATGTTTGCAAGTCGGGTTGGGTGAACTGGCTCTCGTTACGTGCCAGGCTGGTGAAAGTATAAAGAACCCTGACCCAACCCTGAACCCTGAACCCCCCCCTGGAAATAAATCCAGACATACAAAATGGCTGCGCCTGCAGATTTGCAAATCATAGAAGACTATTGGCCTCGATGCAGGTCTGTGCCCTTGTGTACCCTTATATTGTGTGTCTGTTGCACATTAAAGCACTTTGCCCTGCTGCTGAAATGCTCTCTATAAAAAACTTGCCTTGCCTTCTGGTTACAGATGTTTTTGTTGTGTCTAACTTGAGTTACAGTCCAGTAGAATATTATTTAGATGGCCTTGTGCCTTCAGTGTTGCTGAGTCACTCAGTGTGTGTGCTTATCTGATTCACTGTCTTCACTGCTGTATCTACTGTTCTGTGGTGAAAATAAAACACTGATAGAGAATGTACTCCTGACTTGTTTGTAAGAAGATGTAACAAATCCCATTTTGGTTTGAGAATCTCAGGTCAGCAGTAAAATCTTTGATGTGTGAGGGCCAGGGCTGTCAAACGATTATTTTTTCAATCACAATTAACTTTTGATGTTTAAACTTCCATTGTTTTGAAGTCCATATCAACAAGGTGAAGCAGTTCTTACCAGAGTGACCTGATTGAGAATTAAATGAAGGCAAAAAAATTTACTTAATGATCTTGATTTTTAAATGTATTTCTTTCAAATTTCTTTATGCTCTATCGCCTATTTACAAAAAAAATACACTTATCTATTAATGATAAGCCTGAAAAAAACAATGTATATGCAGCCTGAAGGTTGAACCAAATGTGAAGTATCATAAACGTTTGTTTGCTGCAGAGCTTATTTTCTGCAATAATCCAAAATCCAATGAGAAATCCCATAGACTATTTGATAAGGGAACCAGATTGTCATCCCCGGAGCACTCTGTAGTAGCAGCCAGTTACAGCTGAATGGCCGTGGTTAGGAAAGATGGCTCAGCAGTAATGAGCAAAAACAATAAGAGAAAACCTGTCCGCAGAAGAAGGAACATAAATGCATAAACTGCTCTGGAAGTGTAAACACAGCAGAGGTGAGAGTCTATGAGAGGATGTGACACGACTGTGACCCCCCCAGCTGCCCTTTAACAACTCGTTATCAGTCTGAAAACAAGCCAGTGTTGCTTCAAAACTGGCTGACTGTGGGACAGTCTCAGTTACAAATTTACATGTGAGCAGACATGTGCCTGATTACACCAGAATGTAACTGCATGTTTTTCCAGTAGAGAATGTGTGTGTAAAGCCGCAGTGTGTCGAAAGGTAACCTGAGATTTAGGCTAATTTCATCTGAGTATTTTGAGGTAACTGTGTTGTTTCCATTGTGGTGAAGGCCGTAACCATGGAGTCAGCTTGGGGGAAACAAAGGATGTCAACAGTTAACTGTTAACTGGTTAAGAATTTTTTTTTCATCATGTACAATGACCCTGATGAAGGCCACAAGCTGAAACATGTGGATATTCCACCTAAATACCTTGAACAACCTTCTTTAAAAGGCTGGTGTGGCGATATTCAACATGTCCAAAAACCTGCTGATATCCAAGTCTTTCATAATGTTTAAAAGTAGGTGTGTTTCTGCTTTTGACCAGAAATGTGGGCTTTTCCTTTGGGCATGTATCTTGTCTATGACCACACACAGAGCTGACCATAAACAAGCAAAATGCCATTTGTCACAAACTGCA